TGTGGCCACTTGGGAGGCAGGTACCTTCATGACATTGGGAAGTAACCTGAGCCTGAGTCTGGTCAACCCATTTTTTCCCCTGCTTGAAACCTTGCTGTGTAATCCTAGCACTCTGGAGACTGAGGCAGAAGGATCACAAGCTGAAGGCCAGCTTGGGCTACATAACAAGTTCAAAGGTGGCCTGAACTACACAGTGAGACCCTCTCTCAAAGAAACTAAACCAAAACAAAACAAACAAAAAACCAACCACAAGTCTTTCTGTGACTCAAAACAGCCTGTAAAGTCAGCCTGCAAAAGCCTCAGCATGGTGTTCTTAGCCTCAGTTTTCCACTGTCTTTCTTGCACTTGGAGCTCCAGCCATGGAGAATTCCTTGCAGTATCCCAGACCCACTAGCCATTCCATCCCTCTGCACCCGCCCTCCACCTTCCTGCTCTCACTCCAAGCTGTGACTGTAGAATACCCACTTACTCCCCATCTCATGTCTGCTGAACCCCTTTTTCCAGACTTCCTTTCAAACTTTTCCATGCCCATTACATAGAAGCTATCCCTACATTACGCCCTGATGAGAATCTAGGGTAGCTGTAGTGATATCTGATATCTCAGTGAACACTGGGACTGACTCCTCAATATCTTTCCACCCAAAAGTTAATTAAAAATAGTTTGTCTTGATAGTGACTGCTTATAAGTGGTCATGAGATTTAACACATTTCCACCTTACCACAATCTTCTCTGCTCACCTGAGTAGCCTTGGGAATTGGCCACGTGCTCATACGTGAGCCAGCTTCTGCACACACAACAGGTTGAAGCTGTTACTTGCCTACTGAGTCAGGAACTGGTGAGGCCCCGGCCACCTCCTTCTGAGAGGGGGCCACATGGCATCCCACAGGAGCCGGCTCTTGCATGAGAGCATCTAGGGTGGGAGGCTTTGTTAGTTTCAGCTGCCGCCAGGCTGGCAGGGCTTCCCCATTGGGCTCCACCTAGACAGCCTTTATTCTGTTCCTTCTCCACCTCATCACTGCCCCTCAACCATCAGAACCTCTCTGGCCCACTTCTTTTTCCTCCACAGGCAGTAACTTTTTAGCTGATTAACTCTCAGCAGTGGGCCTGTGCTCCTTGCTTACCTGCTAGCTCTCTCCACCTGTATGCGTGTTTACAGGAAATTCACAGAAGCACTAGCCTTTCTCAAGCTTTAGTCACTTTCCAGGCACTGCATTGCACCAGATGATTTTACATACATGACTGTCTTAGTTACTTTTTTTTGGTTGTTGCTGAGACGAAAATACTGACACCCAAAGTTAAAGGAGGAAAGGTTTGTTTCAGCTTGCAGTTTGCAGAGGTTTCAGTCCATAATGAGCTTGTCCAAGACAGAGGGGCATCACAGAAGATAAACAGTTCATGGCAGGTGGCCAAAGCAGCAAGCGTCAACAGCTGTCTTTAGTGAGGGCAGGTAGCACTCACTCCTTAGTAAAGGTAGGTAGCACTCACACACAGGTGGGCCTTCCCATTATCCACACCCAGAACCATGCCAAACCAATCAGTGGACTAATTTTGTAATCACACAACTTTAATCTCAGCACCACACACTCTAGATCCAGCCACCTCTGAAAAGCCCTACCAAAGACTCCATGAGGCTTTGGGGGCATCTAGATTCAAGCCACAGCAATGATCCTATTTAATTCTCATGGCATTTTGTATTTTTTTTTGAGATAGGATCTCACCATGTAGTCCAGACTGGTCTCAAACTCACAGCCCTCCTGCCTCAGCCTCCCAAGTGCTGGGATCGTAGGCAGCTACTACCATGGCCACCTTGTAATTATTCTTTATTCCCATTTTGCAGATGAAGATACTGAAGCTTGAAGGGGTGGAGTAACTTGCCAAGGTCACACAAGAAAAAATGAGAGCTGGGATTAAAGGCTCCCATGTGGCACAGGAAGGAAGTGCTGTTTTCAGTCTGCCTCAGTCACTATAGAGCTAATGTACAGTGGACCCTTGACTTACGAACTCAATTCATTCCTGACAGCTGGTTGTAACCCAAGTTTCTCAATGAAGGCTCAGGCTCCTCTACACAGCCTTCCAAGTCTCTCTCCTGTATACAGGCAGATCTCAGTGTCCTTAGAGAGACACTGGTCCAGGATTTCTCATTTAACTCCACACAGGAAAGGATGTTGTCATGTTTCTTCCAGAACTCTTTAAGGATTAAATCTGTATCAGAGACCATCTGGAAAAACAAGCAGCCAGCATTCAGGTCATAACTCAAGACTTTGGTCATAAGTTAAATTCCAGTCATAACCCAAGTTGTTCGTATGTCAGGCCAGTCATAATTTGAGAGTCCACTGTACTTTCCTTGCCTTTTGAGTACCACTCTACAAAGGGCAGCTGCATCAAGTCCCATTGGTAGTAATAGCTTTGGGATGTGTGTGAGAGAGAGGAAAAGCTCACACTCTTGTGGGGAGCATTAAGGAAGGTTCTAAACCCCAAAGAGGATGAGTGTGGAGGATTCTGGCCTTGAGCATTGAAAGCAGGAGGGTTTTGAAAAAATTAAAGAACCATCTCAGGTCTCTTTGGGTGCCAGGGGATCAAGGCCCACTAGGTGGCAGCAGAGAACCAGCCAGCGACAAGCAAGGTCCTAAGAGTGCAAGTTCTAACCCAGGGTAGAAGTAGCAAAGCTGTTTGACCTGGGGCCAAGGAGTAAGAGGTGAACACTCGCATAGCAACAGTTTACTTTATTATTGCTAAGCATATTCTGTGCCAGATACTGTACCAAGAAGGAAGCATCCAGTTCTCACAATGAACCTGGAACAGACAATACTAGCCCTCTTAGTAGATGCCCACATGAGGCTTTCAGAGGTTTGTTTTGCTCAAGGGCACAAGGACTGATGAGGTGAAATTCAGGCAGTTTGGACTCGAGCCTCTGCTGTTAAAAATCAGCATTCACATGGAGGTGCTGAGGTTGGGAGCAGGTAGGACCTGACTTAGGTTGGCTGGGAATGGGGCCCAAGGCTGAGGTCAGTCCAAGGACAGATACTAGGAGCCTAGGCAGGGGGCACTTCTGGGGCCTGAGGAGACAGAGGGTTGTAGGATTTTCAGGCTGAAGTTTCTATGAACCCTTACTTGAAAAAGATCCGTACAGTTTATCTTGGTCGTGTAACCCTGAAGGACTGGGCACCTCAAATGCTGCAACCCAAAAATCCAAGGAGGTGCATGTGAAAAATCTGACCAGGGTTCCCTGCTTGAGTTTCAAGAGGCAAACTAGCTGGAGAGCTGGTGCCCTGACAGGTTGTAGTGTCGCCAGCATGCTGACTCTGGACATGGAGCCCCTTCTGGGGAACAGGGTGATGGCAGCTCCCTTGCTGTCTCTGCCATGAAAGAAGGCAGGGCACACTCAAGTTCCCTGAATCAACTCACATCACCAGAGGACTTGAGTGAGACCTTGCCCTGACAGCCAGATCAATGTCTTCCTCTCTTGACACCAGTCATACAGGGGCCCAAGTTAGTTGGAGAGTCCAGCCTAGTGCAAGCCCTGGGCTTCTCAGTTCAGAATTGTGACCTTTCCAGACACAGTCACCACTAGGGCTTTCTGGGAGTCACCAGGCATAACCTTGAGTTTCAGGTTAAAATTACTCTCCCCAAGTCCATTGACACTAAAGGCTGTTTTCTTCCAATTTCTATACAAAAGTCTCCTGAGCTAGCCTCAGTCTGGAAGCCCAGATCACATTATGGTTTATTGTTCCACATCAGGGCTTTGAACTAGTTGTTTTGTCTGAAATGCTCTTCTTCCACCTATTTAGCACTGGGGGTTGAACCCAGGACCTGGTGTATGTTAGGCAACCACTCTACTGGGCTAAACCCCTAGCTCTTCTTCCTCCACCTTTTTATGCCTGCTCTTTCTCATTTCAATCTCAGTTCAAAATCTCTCTCCTTTTCAGAAGGATTTTCCTTGTCTCTCCTAAAAAAAGATCAACTCTTATTTCCTTTGTCACTTTCCAGTTCCAGTGATGACTGTCCCGGTGTCCAGTTTTCAGTAGGTTGACACTGCTCTCACAGGACAGCGCTTGTCCATAGCCCAGTGTGGGAAGTGGAAAGTCACGGGATCAGAAAGGAATGGGGCCCTCAGATATTATGTGGTCCTTTAATCCAAGTCCTCAGCTAATTCTCATATTCCTTCATTTTACTGCAGGTTGCTGCTTTTTTTTTTTTGCCATGATGGTAATGGATACACAGCAACAGGTGACTGTTGTGTCATATTGAAATGCTTGGGGCTATATACATTTGACTCCTAGGTAGATTATGATGTATAGACGCAGCCCTGGTTTGTTAGATTTTTAACTAGGTCATATTCCACCTTGGGAAACAAAATTTCATATGGCCCTTGCAAACGCCTGGAAACTCACTATTCCCAGTAGATAGCCAACTCCAGGATGGTCACAAAGAACTCAGGGAGCCCAGCCTAGAAGGCTTCAGGGATCCTCTAATTTCTCTTCTTGAAGATGAGTGTGGGAGTAGATATCTCCAGATCTGAGCCTACGGGCTCTCAAACTCTCTGAGGTAGAGATGAGAGAGGCTATAGGACTCCTGGTTAAATCTGAATATCAGAAAAAGAAAAACATAACTTTTAAAAAACTATGTCTTGATGCAGTATGGGAGACATTTATACTAAAAAACATTTCATGGGATGTAGGTACACTAAAAAACTACTCATTATCTGTCTGAAATTACAATTTCACCAGGAATTGTATATATTTCATCTGGCCACCCTATAGAGGAGGAGCAGCACTTAACAAACGGCTTCCCTTAGGACGAAGCCTTTGGATTGGGGAAGACAAAGGCCACAGTGAGCTGTGATTTTTTTTTGAAGGGTGGAATGATGTTGGTTTCTTTCATGCCAAATAAGCAATCACTGACGACCTCGTCAGGAATCCAAACTCGTGACTATCATGGGACTCAAGATCAAGAAAAAAACATTTTTTTTAAGATTAAGAGCCAGAGAAGCAATCTTCTCTGTCTCACACACACACACATACACACACGACCAGTCAGCAGGGCAAGGGCGACCTCATCAAGGAAGGTAAGAACATTCCTACTCTCCAGACTCTAGCAGGATTTCTCCTTGGCATTATAAGCCCCCAATTTCTGAGGGTCCACAAGGCTCCCCTCACCCCTTGCAGTCCTCTGTGACTACCAACAAGAGCAGCGATTATTCCGGAGACTGTCTGCTGGTGACAAGCAGCCTCCCTGTGCTGGAAGTGTTCTGTCACTAGAAGGAGTGCTTCTCTTGGTTTGAGGGGGCTGAGAGGACATGTGAATTCCCCACACTGTTTCCTAAGGCTCTGAGCTTGACAAAAACAAAAACAATTTAATGCAGAATTGAGTTACCTGTCTATAATTTGAACAGAGGGCTTATTCCTCCCTATTATCCACTTGAGATGATCAGTGAGTTCAACTGTGTTTTTTTTTTTTTACAATTGGGAAGGACAATTACAGATAAAATGGTCCCACTGCAAAGGAGTCATGTGGTGAAATTCCCCTTTGTTCTCCCATATTCCGTTGTTCAAATTGGACCTCATTAATATAACTCTATGGGGATCAGACCTTTAATATTCACAAGAATAGTTAAGAGGGAAGAAAAACACAAAATAGCAAGGAGCGAGGCTTCCATTATTGACTTTTAATGATCTCACTTTAATCACAACCACTGCAGTTCATGATTTTGTTGTTGTTATTGTTATTGTTCACTTGCATGTATTATAGTTACTTTTTAAAAAAACTCCTAGCCATAAGACTTGAACTAGAGAGAAGCAGAAGTTGATTTAGGTGGGAAGGAAAACAAACTGTTAGACAATATCAGGTCCTGAGCTTCCTCAGCTAATTCTGGGTGATGTGCACATGGGAAACCAAGGCACACGCACAGGGCGGTTTCCTTTGTCGGAAAGTGGACTTGGTTATTTTTTAAAGCATATGTTTGCAATATATATCGAATGCATCCATTGTGGGCAGTGGGTACATGTACATATTGCATCTTCATACTTTTATTTTCCTTTCCCTAGAGGATGCTGTGCTCTCTGCCTCATGTCCCCTTATCAGGCTCTCGGAAACACATTTATCTCATCATAGCCTTCCGTTTGTCCAGGTATTAGTACCAAATAGTAACCTTGGAGAGAAATGACTTCTCCTATTAACCATTGCCCTGGGCCAGGCAAAGTTGAGAATGAATAAAAATCCTCTTTTTCTCTGAAAGTTTGTAGGATAGGCTCAAATTAAAGGCAAATGAAGAACATTTTTCTGCCAAATAATAACCCAGTTCGAAAGTTTTGTTGTGTTTTCATTTGTATTTTCTTCAAACTTACTTTTCCATTAGTAGAAGGAGTTGAGGCCTAAGCTATGAGTATTTCTGAAGCCCTTGATATCAGTGAGGAAGTCAGTACAAATTCTTGCAGAGAGAAACCAGGGGGTCCTTTCAATATTGGTTAACTGGCAGCAGTGTCTTCGTGGGTCTTTATGAAATGGTGGGAAGGATGCGCTGAATTCCCTAAATGATGCTCATGTGTCCTCTCAGGTGTGCTGTGATCTGACCCCATAAGATGCCACAAGAAGAGGGTCACTTCAGCCATGGTTATCCCAGGAAGGGGCACGGCCATGCTTACATCACAACCGAAGAGTAAGTTCAAAACCAGACCTAGCAGAGTTTCCAGCTTGCTGTTTGCTGGCATAGCCTGCTGACTTCCACTGGCACAAGGCCATTTATAAATCTCCCTTGCATTTGTTTCCCCAGACAGTGAAAACTATAGCAACAAAGGGAGGAGACTTCTGGTTCTACAGAGGGCTCACTCAAGTTTCTCTGGGGCCAAACAGGCAGGAGGAAAGGAATGATTAAAAAGTTGGATCTTTCTATTTTTGTCCACACTCTTAGCTATTGAACCTTATTAGCCGTAGGTCCCCAAATTGAAAAACTTCTGTCCAGCATTAAGATGCTTTTTTCTGCAAGCCTTGTTCTGTCAACTCCTCTCAGGCTGCTGAAGGTGACTTGTAGATGAAATAAAGCTGAGTTGCCAAAGAACCAGTGAGGATGAGGGCAGGTGTGTGGAACTCAACCTGCAGACTAACTCTAGGATGAAGATGGTGCTATAACTGTTGTATTATAACTTTACTGAAAGGATACCGTGTTATTAAGAATTAATTTAAAATAAGAATTTATATGTTAGCATTTCTACGGTGCTATGTATTATATAATAGTTGAAGATACACACTGCTTTTATTATTTAAAAATCTAATAATCCAGTGGAAGAGTTGGGCAAGAGAATAACTTCAGCCCATACAAATGCTATTAGCTGGGCATGGTGGCCCAAACCTGTAATCCCAGAACTCTGGAAGCTGAGGTAGGAGGATCAAAGGTTTGAGCCCAGGTTGGCAACTTAGTAACTTAATAGTTTCTATAAAAATAAAAAAGGACTAGGGATGTAGCTCAGTGAGAAGGGCCCGGGTTTAATCCCCAGTACCTCCAGTACTCTGAGAAGAAAGAAAGAAAGAAAGAAAGAAAGAAAGAAAGAAAGAAAGAAAGAAAGAAAGAAAGAAAGAAAGAAAGAAAGAAAAAAGTAAGCACTGTGTTAGGGGACGCGCACTGCGACTGTGGGACACACCCTGCAGATTCTGGGAGCGGAGAGGGGTGTGGTGATGGGAGGGAGTGCGGTGGTAGGACAGGAAGTTCCATTCTCTGAGCAGGGGTTTCAACAGGACATCGAGGAATGGGGTTTTTATCTGGATTATGTTTTTCATGATCAGTTCAGAATGCCCTGCAGACCTGCTCTCCTTTTGGAAAAAGTCATCGAAAAACCTTAAAAGGAGTCAATCAGCAGGGACAAACAAGTTGTAGAACCCATCCAAGGCACTAAGAATCCAGGCTGGGAGCGTTTCCTCTGAAGACCATGCTGGGATTCTCCCATACCCCTGTGTAGTCAGTCAATTGGTCAATCTGAGGAAAGAACAGGGGTAGTTATATCTCCTAACAAAATTTTCCAAGAGTGAAAAGAAACTCTTAGGGAGGATCTAATGCACATGGTATTAGTTTGGATATTGTTTCAGTTTCTGTAGGATGACTTAACAGAGTCTTCTTTAAAACATAATTTTATTTACCTGTCAGGTAATAGTCCAAGAGTACAAAGTTCAATACCCATTAGTTTCTTTCTCCCTGGTCACTCCCCTTAGATACTGGCTTTGTCTATCCAGTTGAAGATGATACATCATCACTGCCACCAACAGAAAGAGGGAGACAAAGAGAAGTGGCATGCATCACTTCTGCTCACCTCCAACATGATGACCCACCCTGGTGGGTATCATCCTTTCTGTGTTGTAGAGGAGGAATGAATTAGAGAAACTAGGAAATATACAACTGGACACAGTGATACTGTAGTTTCAGTATGAGTTTATTTGCCTGTGAAGCACTATGCTGTAGACCAGCAGAACAAATATTTACATGATTCCATCCAACAACAGACAAGGGAAGAGATCAGTATCTACCATGAAGCTGAAGGCTGGGAACAGGAGGTCGTTAGCTCAGGAGGCCATGTAGTGCCATCCTTCCTAGCTAGGGAAGCAAGTGGCCAGGTGGCGTTCACAGCCGAAGCAGAGTTACTCTCAGGGTCTATCTGGGAAGACAGAAACCAAGCAGACACTTCAACTCTACTGTAAGTAACTAATTAAGCATACATTCAGCCTGAGGAGGCACAGAAGACACAAAGGTAACCCTGAGGCAGTCACTATATGATGCTGCTTCTACCCTTGAGTCTAGAAGAATAAAGAGTGGAGGTCATCAGAAGCCAGAGCGGAGAGGCAGCACCACACACCAATGGGACTCACATCTCTGAGGAAGCATCTCTATTTGGATGGTTCTGGAGCCTTGGGAGCTTAGAGGTGGGGACACTGGCCAGTGTGTAAGGAGCATAACAGGGCTGTTCTGGGAGTGAGAAGCAGAGCTGGTGGTTGGGAAGACATTATGAAGAACTGTTGCTGAGGTAGCACTAACCAGAACACGAAGAGCAGCTCTTTCCCATGTTGGAAACTCCCTCCTCCAGTCTCTGGAACTCCCTCCAAGGCGCTCTAATGGAAGCCAGTGGGCAGAGAAGGGAGGTCTGCAGAGTTCACCCCCAGCACAGCACAGAAAGGTGGGCTGGGAACTAGGTGACAGCAGCTGAATTAGGGATGCATGGGGTTTAATACCAACACCACGTAATGGAACCTCTTGGCTGAAGGCATGAGCATTCTGAGTCCTGCTTGCTTAACAAAGTGCTCATGTATGGTTAGGTGAATCCTCTGGCATCTTCCCTGAGAACACAGGGGAGCCTCTAGCTTCTAGAGCAAAAGAAAAGTATCCATTTAACTTGTATGGTGGGAGCTGTCCCTCCATAGGCAGAATGTCATTTCAACATTTAAAGCTCCCACATGGTGGTTTCTTGTCCTCAGTCTGTGAAGGAAAGAACCACTGAATTCATGGAACATCATGATTTTGTGCAAGCTAGTTAAAGAGGTCAGTCCAGAACATAACTGTGCACAGGCCACCAATATTCTCTCATGAAAGATCTCTGCTCGTAGATAAATAGGAAGTAGGGAGAAATTCCAGTAATTCTCCAAATTACCTATTTTTTTGTTTCAAAAGTATTTTAATGATACTACTAGTTTTTCTTAATTCCTTTAAAAGGAAGTTTTGTGCTAATATCTGTTTCTTCTTTGTAAGAGAGAATCATTTTTTGCCTATGTCTTGTACTCTATTTTGAAGAAAAGGATATACAATATATTAACTATTAACTATTGTTATTATCTCTCAAAAAAAGAGGAAACTTTGATTTAAAAAAGAAGATCCCAGCTCAGGTAGGGGAATAGGGACAGCCATATTGGAGCAACACATCTCGGAGATTCTCTGAAGATATTTATCCTTCTTACAATCTCGCCACCAGACAGAATGAGTAAGAACAATATGAAGTAAATTCCCATACTCACCCAAAAGAGCAACCCATCTGCTGTGAGTGTGACCTACCTCTCAGAAGGCTCGGGAGACAGAGCTTCTTACAGTTCAGTGGACATACATCATCTAAAGCACTTGCTTAAGTGTGGATTCCAAGTACTGCCACTCAAGAGGCTGAGCTGGCAGGTCAGGGGTAGAGCCCATGGATCTGCACTTTAGTGAGCATTGCAGAGTGGGTGACACTCTGAGGATCCCTGCCAAGCTGGGCAGTTCTGGTGCATCCTTGGGGTTTCATGCTCTCCATCTTTGGGTATGTTGTGAGGACATGATCTTGATAAAGAGCTGGAACAGAGCTCTGTCTGTATCAGGAAGTTCAAGGGGAGACCACAGAATCAAATCAGAGCACAGGCATGCTGGGAACTGGATCAGATGCCTTCAGTCATGAGAACCCCAGAATGTTCCTGTGACAGCTTCCTTTTAAGAAACAGTAATTTCTGCGGGACAAGCACCACCCTTGGAAATAGGACACCTGGGTCTGTCCCAAATTCTAGAGCTCTCTTGGCGGGCGTCCAGTGCCAGTTATTGTGAATCCTGGTCCTGCCACTTACTGGTTGTGCAACCTTTGCCATTTTACCAACCTAATGTGGCTCTAAAATGAACATCATATATATCTCAGAGGATTGTAATGAGGAAAAAGTGAAGCCACATGTGTGTGTGGTGCTTAGCAGTGTCTGGCACAAGTTGGTGCTCTGTCACTGAGGTGGTGGTAACACTGATGAATTTCAGTCGGTCTCAGCTTCTTGATCTATAAGATGGGTAGACTGGCCTACATAATTGGGTCAGAACTTCCTGTGGCATGGGCATCTCATGGTTCTCTTGGACATAACAGGTTTGATGCCTAGTAGCCTCAAGATTGGTAGGTGGCACTGGGCAAAATTTTCTCCAGAAGTCTTTGTTCAAACTTGCTCCTTTCTTATAAACCTAGTTCTGCAGAACCTTTTTAACAAGTGCACAGACACAGATAACATGTAATGCTGTGAACTTTGACCATGCTGTGGTGTGGAAAATCAGCCAGACGCTAGCTCATTGACAGTTTTACACAGGCAGTACATAGTTCTGGCCTCTTTCCAGGCCTTTGTGGTAACTGTAATGCTTACAAGGGCAACTAGAGACAAGGCCCAAGAGTATGACTTAGATGCCCACCTTGGCATTCTGTGGTTTAGGACCAGATCTTTCTGTAGCAACTCTGTATCTTTCCCCTAGGTGTCACTCAGACTCTTCGCCACTGGGCTGCATGGGGTGAGAGGAGCTTGGGGCAGAGATGGTCTGCGCTTTCTGTCTTGTGACAGCTCTGGATGACCAGCAGCAAGTCACTTAATCTCTGTCTTTATTTCCTAATCTGTGAAACTGGGATGATGCATAGTGTGAACCTAACAGGGCTATTATGAGAATTTAAAAAGCCAATATGCAGGCTGGGGATTTAGCTCAGTGGCACAGCGCCTACCTCACAAGTGTCCTGAGTTCAATCCCTGGTACCAAAAAAAAAAAAAAGCCAATGTGAACCTAATGGAGTTACTATAAGAATTTAAAAAGCCAATGCTTATGGAATGTTTAGCATAGCACCTGGCTTATAGTAGGTGTTCAGTCAGTGTTAATTTCTGTTTCCTTTTTCTGGGCTGAGTTGGAGAAAATGCTGTAAACCAGCCCCAGTGAGAAGAAAAAAATACTTCCAATAAAGCCCAATAAATATATGGTCCCTGTGAGGATCAGTTATTAGGACATCTCTTCTGCCTGGAGCTTGGGTACTTGGCCTTGCGGTTAGCAGTGCTCACAGGTCTTGGAGACCAGGATCTGTGCCAAGATACTGGAGCTGTAGGTCTGTTGGGCTCCTGTGCCTGGGGGATGGCAAACTACTGGGGGGGCTGTATGAAGAAGGAAGAAGGTTGATTTATGTTTCACCACACTGTGGAACAGTATTTCTGTGCCTAATTGGATTTGTGTATCTCCGCCAGGGCTGCAGGGATTGGCATCCTGACAGTGATCCTGGGAATTTTACTGCTCATTGGCTGCTGGTATTGTAGAAGACAAAGTGGATACAGAACCTTGATGGTGGGTTAAGTTCCCACTGCTGGGATCTTTCTGGATCCAGGACCCCCTTTCCACTTTCTCTGAATTTCTGAGGAGTGAGATAACATTCTCATGATCCCCTGTAGCTCTAATTCCCACTTCTGATGAATCTTCGTTTTTTTCTCTTTTTCTTTTTTTTTTTTTTTTTGGTACCAGAGATCGAACTCGGGTCCTTCCACTTTTGAGGCAGGCAGTGGAACCACTGAGCTAAATCCTTGGCCCTGATGAATCTTTCCATACATTGCCCTTCTAGCAACTATTCTTTTTGCCTCTCCCCAAGTATGAGCCCCAACTAGGAACTTGCCTCTTCTCTTTGGTTCTATGCAAAGCAAATTTAAGTACCTGGCTGCCATGTGCAGCAGAGCACTGATGGCTTGTAGGGCACAGGGGAAAGGGTTTGTGGTCCCCTTAACACCAGTGTAATAGAATCCTTGGGTCTTACTAATTCTAGAGATTATTGTTAATTCTGTTATCCCATTTAGCGGCATACTTCTCCTTCCTTGCCTGTTGACATCTTTTATCATAGGTTGCCTGGGAATTTCAAGTTCTTGTAATTCTGTCATACTAAGTAGTCCAGGATACCCAAGACCCCTGTGAACATCAGTACAGTGACAGAACCATCCTTCCCTTCCGCAGCACAAAGCATATTTATTTATTTTCACCAGCCTCCATCTTCCTGGGGTGGCTAATGTTTAACAGTATCTTTTTGTTCTTTACCCACATAACCAGGAAGCTAACACAATGACATAGTCTACTCTTCTGGCACCAGGTTATCCAATGAGTGGGACAGATCAATTAAGCCTATAGACCGTTAAAAAACTACACGTTGGAGCAAATTCACTTCAAAGCCAGGTAGTACTTTAACACTGAAGCATCCAAAGGCATTCTCCTTTGGATGGAGGAGAGTTGCAATTTTTCTCTCTTCTTATCACAGATATGAAAGGTTTTCAGGTTGATGCATGATAGAAAGCTATCTTCACAAAAGATGTTGGAAAGTCTCATTCTTCATTCGGCAAACACTTCTCTCAGAAGAGGTTCTGTGAAGGAGAGGAGTGCTAGTGTGGGTGGGGGGCTGGAGCATGGCAATCTGAAGAAGAGAAGGGGACCATAAGAGAGGCACCTTGCAATTTTTCCCACCTTGCCAAGAAACTAAGCAGTCTTGTGTCCCCCTTTCCCTAATACCTTACCAAAGTATGCAAAAAACAAACCATGAAGGGCTAGGCAAATCAGAGGCTGACACACCACCAAGAAGAGCCCTCTAGTATGTTTGTATTTCATGAGAAAGAGCAGAAGGTACTGAGTCTGAACAAGAAAACTCTAAACCAACACTAGAGGAAAGCCCTTGATTACAAGGTTAGGGACAGAACCCCAGTTCATATGACACATCTGTGGTGGTCCACAACAGGTTAGTAGGTGAAGGGCTTTGCTTCCATCACAGAACTCCACTGGTACCTCTAGCATGGGGTAATGACATTATCTTGTAGATGGCTATTTACTTTTCTCCCTCTTTCACCCCTTTCCCCCCACCCCCGATTTATGAACCAGGATACTGTACCTCCAGTGCTTAGCACAGTGCCTGACATATAGCAGTTACTCAATTGTATGGCTTTAGGATTTGATCTGATTGGGTACCACTGACTTACTTGGAAGCCTTAGATTTTTAACTTCTCCAAACCTCATTGGCTCCATTCTACACACAAACATGGTAGAAATGTGATATAACACAATCAGTTATTTTTAAGCAAAACATTTATTGGTACATTTTAGATATACAAAATGATAACATTCATCATAGGGGATTTGTACCTATACATGATATATCTTGCTTTTTCTCCCCCCCGCCACCTTTGGCCCCTCTTCCCCTCCTTATATACAAAAATTTTGTTTCTATTTTTTCCTTCTATTTTCTCTTCTTTTTCTTGTGGCTTTTTTCCTCCAGCCCCCCTTGTTATCCTTCTTATTTGAACATTTTCTTCCCATTTTACAATATCTATTATAAATTTTAGTCCTTATTTCCACTTTTGATTTCTCACACCAAAGAAACAATGTGATATTTAAACATGTGTGTACAATTTATTTCACCTAAGAGTGTGGTCTCAAAGTCCATCCATTTATCTATAAATGTTTCAAGATCACCCTTCTTTATGGCACAGCAGTACTCCACTGTATAAAAAACCCCACATATTCTTTATCTATTTGTTGGTTGATGGGTATTTGGGCTATTTCCAAGAATTAGCTATTACAAATTGTGCTGCTATAAACATGAGTGTGTACATATCACTGTGGTAAGCTTTTAATTCTTTCGGGAAGATAATCAAGAAGGGGAATAGCTGGGCCAAATGGAACTTCTAGCTTTAGTTTTTTGAGGAATCTCTACACCAAATCTACTCTCCCACCAACAGTGGAGAAGGATTCCTTTATCCCCACAGCCCCGCAAGCATTTGTTATTGGTTGATTTCTTGATAATAGCCATCCTTTCTGGAGTGAAATAGAATCTTAGTATTGTTTTAATTTGTATCTCTTGAATGATCAGTGATGTTTAACATTTTTTCATATATTTATTTGCTATTTCTATTTCTTTACCTGAGAAGTGTCTATTCATTTCAGAGTCCCATTTTTGGTCTGGGTCTTTGAATTTGAGGGGACTGATTTTTTTTGGTTCTTTATATATTCTAGATAGTAAGTAGTCTTTTGTCTGAGGAACGGTTGGCAAAATTTTTTTCCACACTGTGGGTTGTCTCTTTACTCTGTTGGTGGTTTCTCTTGCTGTGCAAAAGCTTTTAATGACCCAGTGGCGTGAGGTAATACAGGTTCTAGAAGTAGGTATTGATCTTGTGATTTCTACAGGATCTGTTGTGATTTCACCCTTTTCATTCCTAATTGCATGGATTTGAGTCCTTTTTTTCCTTTATTTTGATAAGGTTGGCCAGGAGTTTGTCAATTTTATTTAATCTTTCAAATAATCAACTCTTTGATTCATTGATTCTTTGTTTTCTTAGTCTCCATTGCATTAATTTCTGCTCTGGTCTTTATAATTTCCTCCTTCATATGAGCTTTGGGCTTGAATTGCTCTTCTTTTTCTAGAAGTTTGAGGTACATTAGGTTATTTGAGCCCGGTCTGTTTTCCTGATATGGGTATTCACTGCTATAAATTTCCCTTTTAGGACTGCTTTCATTGCATCCCATAAGTTCTGGTATGTTGTATTGCCATTATCATTTAATTGTAGAAACTGTCTAATTTCTTCTTTAATTTCATCTGTGACTCATTGGTTGTTCACAGGGGTGTTATTTAATTTCCATGTCTTTATGAAGTTCTTGTGGTTTCTTTTGCCATTGATTTCCAATTTCATTGCACTAGGGTCTGATAATATGCATGGGATAATTTCAATTCCTTTGGATTTACTTAAGCATGTTCTATGAGCTAGTATGTGCTCTATTTTGGAGAACATCCAATGTGTAGCTAAGAAGAACATGTATTCTGATGTTGTGGGGTGGAAAACTCTGTAGACATCTACTAATGTCCATTTGTTCAAAAGCTTGGTTCAGTTCTGATATTTCTTTGTTGACTTATTTGTCTAGTCGACCTATTTGTGTCAGTAGGTATTGAGGTCCCCCACTACAATTGTGTTAGTGCTTATTTGATTTTTCATGTCCATTAATATTTGTTTTATATAGGTGTGTACACTGCTATTTGGTGCATATATATTTATGATTGTTATCTCTTCCTCTTGGATTGTTAGCTTTACAAGGATGTAGTGACTTTCTTTGTCTCTCTTAATCAGTCTTGGCTTGAAATCTACTTTGTCTGCAAATAGCTATCCCTGCTTTTTTCCAGGTTCCTGTCAAATGGAGTATTGTTTTTCATCCTTTGATTTTCAGTCTATGAATTTCTTTTTGAATGAAATGTGTTTCTTGTATGCAGCATATTATTGATAAAGGGTGAAAGATTTATGTGATCTGAAGAGAAACCAGAGTGCAACATCATATTGTTGGATGTTGCTTCTTGATCTGTTCTCCCAGTCTGTTTCTTTTGATTGTGAGTTGAGACCATTAACATTTATAGTTATAACTAAAATGTATTGACTTATCCCTGTCATGTTATTTTCCTGTTGTTGGCTCCCTTCTTTCCTCCTCTATTTAGTTTCTTGCCTTACCTGGTGGATTCACTCTGTTGGGGTTTATGAAATTATAATCCTTGTTATCTCTCTGTAGAATATCCTTCAGAACACTTTGGAGTGCTGGTTTGGTGTTCATGAATTTCCTCAGGTGTTCTTTGTCATGAAAGTATCCTGTTTTTCCATCAATTTTGACAGACAGTTTTGTGGGGTACATCAATCTGGATTGGAGGTAGTTTTCTTTTAGGGCTTGAAATATTTCACTCCAAGCTCTTCTTGACTTAAGGGTTTGTGTTGAGAAGTCTATTCTGATGGGTTTTGCTTTGTATTTATAGGTGATTTCTTTTCTCCAACAGCTTTTAATATTCTGCTCTTGTGTTGAATTTCTGGAGTCTTGACTGTTATATGCCTTGGTGTAGTTTTTTTCTCATCATGGCTAATTGGAATTCTGTATGCCTCACTTATCTGTATCAAATTCTTTTTCCATGCTTGGGAACTTTTCTGCTATTATTCTGTGAACAAATTTTTAATGTTCATTTGCTACCTTCTGATTTTTCATTGATTCCAATTAATCTTATGTTATTCTTCTTTGCATCATCTAGTAGGTGTGGGATTGAATTTTCATGATCCCTTGCTATTTTTAAGAAGTCTTCCATTTGATGATGGCTAACTGCAACCATGTCTTCTAGCTCAGATATTCTATCATCATATTGTTTGATTCTGCTACATATACTTTCAGTAGAACTTTCAGTCTCCTGAATATCTGTTTGAATCTGTTTCATGGATTTCATTTCTTTCTTATACTGGGCATTCATGTTTTTCATTATTTTTCTGAGCTTCTCTTTTTTAATTTTTTATCTGTCTCTGCGCTAGAGTCACTAAGCATGTTTTTCATTATGGTCATTATCTCTGTAGTTATCTGTGAAATTATTTCTGCTTTGATTTTTTTCTGGTGCTTCATCCATCTGCTTTGGTACTTCTGCTGTTTTCATTTCAGAGAGTCCATGTGGGTAGCTTTCAGATTGTTACACTTCAATGTCCCCTAGGTTTGCATTTGGTGAGCTGAAATTCTTGGGGAATTTCATCTTATTTAAATGTCTTCTCATTTTCTACTTTTTTAGTTTAATTCTTGAGTTGATGCTTGTAAATTGCTTAGGGTGAGTAGCTTTATTGGCAGTATTTAGAATCCTTAGGAAATAGCTACTTCTCAGAGATGTCTTCCAGATGTAGCTGGCTTTTGGGTTTTGAGTTTGTTGCAAGATCCTACCCCTTCAATTTATTGGGAATGAGAAGTTTCTGCCTACTTTGCCAAGCCCCTGGTTCTTTGGCACTGGCCTAAAGTATTTTTTTAAGACCCTTAGGCATTCTCAGTCTTGGTATGCCAGGAAGAACAAGTATGTAACACAGTTATGTCATCTTGGCTAAAGTAGTACAATCAGCAGTAACAATCACATCAAACACAGCCTAAAAAATGACAAACAGCCACTGGAGTTCACTGCATCCACTGATCCATTCCACTGGTGCATTTTTCCCTGGAGGCCTTGGGGGTTGCCAGTAGTCACCTGCATTTGCAGGTTTGACCTGCCCTTCCTATGCTGTGGGTATGGGCTCTGGGAGAAAGCACTACCTGCCACCTCTCTCCTTTTCATTTAAATCTCTCTCTTTGGTCTCCCCATGGACTTCAATTCTCACTTTAGATCCTTCCTGGATCCAGGGGACCCCCTTCCTTCCTTCTTCTCCTCCTCACACCACTATATTCCAGTGTCAGATTACCAAATTTCAAAGAAGCTCTTTCTCTGCTGCTCACCACTCTGCCATCTTCCCAGAAGCCCCCAGTTTTTATTTAATATATTTTCTTTGATATTTTTATTTCATCATATATTTACATATAAAAATACAATGATGTAGCCTTTCAAGGAGAACATGTTATAAAAACTCACTATGTTGGCGTTCATTTCCCAATCATCCACAATTATTAGCTTGATGCTTGATTTTTCTTCTTTCTGCTTCAATGTTCTCATCTTAAATTCATTCAATTTGAAGAGTAGCAGAGAGCCTTAATTCTGTTTACACACTGTGGACTGGTAAAGTTTAAGTTCATTCTACTATGCTTCCATTCCTCTAGATGTAAATCAGTGATTCAGAGTGTTTCTTGAAATTTTATGAAATAGAAATGTGTTTAAATTCCCTGGTTTTACTGTCACAATAAGTCCATCAAGTAAATATTTTTATGCTTATTTTGTACATGAGAAAGCTGAGAGAAACAAAGGTTAAATAACTTATTCAAAGTCTAAGTGCCTATAAGTGACAGAGCAAAATTTTGTAGAGAAGCAATCTCCAAAATCCATCTGCCTAACCACTACTCTTTACTGCTCATTAATCATCTATTATAAGTGGAACTGAGGCAGGAATATATATTCTGCTACTGTTGGTTAACAAGAATATACAGATGGGGCAGAATATTTAGCTCAGTGGTTCCACCGCCTGCCTTGCAAGCACTGCCTGCCTTGCAAGCACAAGGCCCTGAGTTCGATCCCTGGTACCAAAAAAAAAAAAGAGTATACAGATGTTTATTATATGTAGTTCATGATTTTGGTGGGTTCAGTTATATCCTTATTGAATTTTTGTCTGCTGGATCTGTCTCATTCTGGTAGAAGTATATTGAAATCTCCAACTATAACTCTGACTACACAGTGGATGTCAATGGTATGTCCTTGAAGATTTAACAGTTATTGTCTCTCTTTTTTTTTTTTTTGCCGTTTTTAGGTACATGTGTATGTCAAGTACTATGATGTTTTCTTGGAGAATGAACCCTTTATCATTATTTAATGCTGTCTTTATCTCCAATATTACTCTTTAGCCTGCTCTTTCTGAAATTAACATAGGAACTATCACAGTGGGTTCTTATATATAACACATAGTTGGAACTTGTTTATGATCCATTATGATAATCAGTCTGTTAATTGGTGTATTTAAAGCATTGACTTTGAAAATGATTATTGACATAGTTGGATTCTTATCTATCATAATTGTTAGTTTTATATTTTTTGCCCTTGTTCTTTGTTCCTATTTTTTACTTCCACTCTTTTTCTACCTTATGTGCTTTTTTTTTTCTGGTAGTGGGGATCAAACTCAGGACCTTGCTCTTGCGAGGCAGTCGCAGTGCCATTAAGCTAAATCCCCAATCCTACCTCATTGTGCTTTTAATGGAGCATTTTATATGATTTAATTTCTCTCCTTTTTTGTATTTCTTTTAAGCTTTTTAAAGCTGTTTTCCTAGAATTTGAAATATGCATTTACAATTAATCTAAGCCCACTTCATAGGTAGCATGAGTATTTGTGATAACAAAATAATCCTAATTATCCTTTCTATCCCTTGGATCACTGCTGTCATTCATTTGTGTATAAACATACATAATCAAATACATTGTTACTATTATTATTTGAACAAACTATATATATCAATTAAAATTTAAAAAATAAAAATGTTTATTTTACCTTCATATTCATTCTTCATTTGTCTTCCTTTCTTTATATACATCTGAGTTTCTTATCTATATTTTTCTTCTCTCTAAAGAACTCTTAAAATTTTTTGCAAGGTAAGTCTATGGCAACACATTTTCTCAATGTTTGCTTGTCTCAGAAAGTCTTTCTCTTTTCCTTTTTTGTGCTGGGGAATCAAACCCAGGGCCTTCTGCATGCTTGGCTGACACTTTGCCACTGAGCTACATCCCCAGCCCTCCTCCTTCATTTTTAAGGATAATTTCACAAAATTGTTCATTTTGTATATCCACTCTTCTCCTTCCCTTCAAAAATATTTATTAAGGGGCCAGGGATTTAGCTCAGTGGTTCCAGTGCCTGCCGCTCAAGAGCAAGGTCCCGAGTTTGATCCCCAGTACCAAAAACAAAACTAAACAAAAAAATTTATTAAAAATGGGGTGTCAGGCACTGTACTAGTGCCTTACCTTAATTCCCACAACTTTGCGAGGCAGGTATCTTCCTATTACAGATGCAAAAAGTGGAATTAGGAGAGGTAAACTAGTTTGAGGACATAGAAAATAAGTGGCCTAACCTAGATTAAAACCTATTCTTAAAACTTTGGCCATCTCTTTTCTTTAATGGAGTAAGCTATTTGTTCTTACCCATTCACTTTAATAAACTTATATTTCAGGACAAAAACCTTCATGCTGGTGTTCAAGGTACATTATGCGGAAGATGCTCACATGAAGAGCTTGGTCATCAGGACACCAAACTGTTTTTTCAAGAGAAAAACTGTGAACCTCTGGTAGGTTGAGATGATGCATCTGAGTATTTTCATATATGGCTGCTTTTAGTTCAAGTAAATAACATGATTTCCCTTGAAAAGCAAGGATACTGTGAATGTACTTAATGTCATTAAATTATACACCTAAAATTGTCCAAATGGTAAATTTTATAATGCATATTTTATTACAAAATAATAATAAAAACAAAAGGCAAAGGAAACATAGAGATTTTCTTAAATTGTATTCTTCTCATACTGATTTTTCCAGAGTTAATAATGAAAACTAAGATCCAAAGAAAGAACTTAGTTTTTGATGTAATATCCTTTCATTGTATATTTTTAATTACATTTGCCTTTTTAATCAATGTAAATATATACAAGGGGAAAAGTATCAATTATTTCTTTTTTTTTTTTTTTTGGTACCGGGGATCAAACTTGGGACTTTGCACTTGCAAGGCAGGTGCCAGAACCAGAGCTAAATCCCCAGCGCAAAAGTATCAATTATTAATTAAATAGAGCTGTGCTATCCAATGGGGTAGCTACAAGCCACATGTTGTTATCAAACACTTGAAACATAGTACAGTAGTTTGACTTAAGATATATTGTCATACATCAGAGTATATGAAAATATAATCATTAATGATTTGTATTTAATGATCTGTAATTGAAATGACTAAATAAAAAGGTTAACTAAAATATCTTATTAATTTTACCTGCTTTTAAGAAATGTTGTATTGGAAATTACAATTACATATATGGCTTGAAGTGTGTTTTGACTGGACAGCACTGGTACAGATGCAATCTTGCATAATGGTTGAGAGCACTGATTCTCAGCTTAATGCCTTACTAGTTGTGTGATCTTGGCCAAATGACAACTTCTCAGTGCTTCAATTTCCCACTCTGTGACATTTTCTGGGATTATTATGAACATTAAGTGAAGGACTGACACATTTGTGCTGAATTGGTAGTATGTGCCTTTAGACAGAGTACAAGGATCTGTGTGGTAAAGACAATATATATTAACTGTGAATAGGGTTCAATAATTCATTAGGATTGGGACTTCTACTGACACTAATAATCCAGGTATACTTAATACTGTTAGATTGTGGGAAAGCCCTTAGCCCTATTTTTTCTCTGCTCTTTCCTCCAACAATGTTTCAACATACACATTTAGGTCAGAAATTAGATGTGAACACTTAAAAGTTTCAGTCCACAGCAAAAGTATAAGCATGCTATTAATTGTTTTGACTTACTCCCTTCCCAGAAACATATACACCATTTCCAAACCCATGTTCTCCTTTTGTATTATCACAGGTTCCTAATGCTCCACCTGCTTATGAGAAACTCTCCAGAGAACAGTCACCACCACCTTATTCACCTTGAGAGCCAGCAAGCTGCCTGAAAAATGCTGAAATGATTTCTCTTACACTTTAGTCTTAATTTTGTATAGACATTTAATGTTCTGCTTCAGGATGCTGTAACAACAATGTGTATCTCTAACAAGTCGGTGTTAAATTTTAAATAGAGCAACTAGGCAGTACTAAGGAAATGATTAGAAATATTAAAATGAAAAATATTCATCAATAAACTTTGTAATACCTACTCTCTATGCCGGTAGTAATGCTATTAAATATCTTATTCTCTAAGGGGTGAGTAGAACTCAAATGGGTGTTCTGGGACCATCTGATTTCTTTTTTAATTGAAAGTTTGCTTATTTACAAACTATTCAGATTTTTAAGAGAAGTGATGTCTTGACAAACATGAACTGCACACATAGTTGTGGCAGGTCCTACAGAGTTCTCACAAAGGATACTGCTAATGTTTAAGACAGAGCTGATGCACCCATTTATCTCATCTGTCAGTCATGCTGCTTTGAGTTTTAAAATTCTATGACACTGTAATGTGCTGCAAAGATCCTACATCTCAAATAATACATATAATGCAGTTCTAATTATGTTCTACTTCAAGATTCAATGTTACCATAATTAAGAATAAGAATTTTGTGTTACCAGAAAGTGGTATTAGGAATTAAATAAGTAAATGAGAATGTAGCTTGGCCTGTGTTCTGTGTATTGTCTTCAGTATCTCCCTGGCAGTTTAGTTCTTTCTGGTTTCCAAATCCTCACAAGAACACACACAGAAAAAAAAAACATAAAAGATCAGAAATTCTGCAGTGGTATCATTTTCATTAAATTTTTTTTGCCATATCTCCATTTATCACTTACACAATTTAATTTTTTTTTCAGTTCATTCAATAAACTTTTTTTGGCCTTTAAATTTTGTGTGTGGTACTCAGGACCTTCACACTGAGCTAGATCCATAGCCCTTTTAATTTTTTATTTTGAGACAGTCTCACTAAATCACTAAGTTGCCCAGGCTGGGCTCAAACCTGCAATCCTCCTTCCTCAGCTTCCCAGAGTGCTGGAATTACAATGCACACCACTATGCCTGACTCCAAAATTTGCAACACCACCCTAAATGGAAAATCAGCATTATTTTCCATAAGTACAGGTAACTTAAAAGTGAAGCTAATGAAAGCAGATTAGTTTCATTAGAACGTAGGAAGATAATAATGGCTGTAGATAGCTATGAACCCAAGACTTGCTTTCTTTGTTAAAGAGGGAAATTAACAAGAATCAAAGAAAACTTAAAAGCTGTCCTTGACAGTCAGAAGGTTTGCAAGTTCTAAAGAAATGTCTTTTTCACTATGTAATTGTTATTTAATGCTGAGTCACTAAAACACCTAACAGCATCTTGTGTCACAGGAAACACAAGCATAACAATATTTTTCACCAAAGGCAAGATTAGACTAAAGGGGGAAAACACTGAATAAAAAAGTGACATTCAACAAAATACTAAAACATCTTTCCAACTTTCCTAATTCTGTCATTTGTTACCACTTAAACTACACCCCTCCCTCTCATCTCTTTTCAAAAAGTGAATTCTAAATGAAGAAAATTTCATCAGGCATTTGACACCCCTTCCCCCCATCACAAGACACCTGGGATTCAGTCCTCCACATCTACAGAGACCTTCGGGGTGAGCTCTACACTTCTCCAAGACTCCCAGACTCATTTGCTGCTGGTTCTCTCCGCGTGCAAGGGCTCACCTCACAGTGATAGTGGCTTGGGCTGAGCCTGGCAGGGAGAGACTAGGAGAGTGAGTAGGAATAAGAGATGTGAGATTCAGAAGCTGCGTGTGGTAGTGCACACCTGTAATCTTAGCACTTGGGAAGCTGTGGCATGAAGATAGCAAGTTGGAGCCTACACCAAGCAATTTAGTAAGACCTCATTTGAAAATAAAAAATAAAAAAGGACTTGAGATGTAATTCAGTGTGAAAGTCCTGGGTTCAATCTCTACCGGGGGAAAAATGACCTGCTCCCCTCACAAAGGCAGCCCCACTTCTGATGACAACTCATAATGCACTTTATATATCAAAATAGCAAAAAGGGAGTTTGAATGTATTCATCATAAAAATGATAAAGCTGTGTGACTATGCTAATGACCCTTAGTTCAACATTACTCAGGGTATTCATGATTCAAAACATTACACTGCACCTCATAAATACGTACCAATATTATCTGTGGAAACAAAGGAAAGAGCTGGATCACATTCCACGAGAAAAAAGCTCCAGAAGGTTGGTTGGTAGCTTGGCTAAGAGAAAGTTCTCTGAGTTGAGAACAAAATGCTAACAAACTGGCTGGTTTTCCCAAGTGGCCCTTGCTGTTCCGTATCCAGCTTTGGGCAGACCCAAGAGCAACTGTGGATCTCCTGATCATCAAATCCCCAAGGAAGGGGAAAGGTTGTTGTGAGAGCTCAGGCATCTGGGTCACGGCCGGTTTAATTCAGGTTAGTAACGACATGCTTTTTTTTTTTTTCCTTAAAAATGTAATTCTTTTTGATTAAACTGTGTTTTCTTAATTGACACTACATTTGCTCAAATTAAAGTGTGTCAGAATTGTAATTCCTAAGACTGTTTTTTTGAATCTGTTTTATTTAAAACTCTTAGAGCTTTTAGGCCATTTCCATAGATCCTCAGAATCAGGTTCATCTAAATATTGTAAGTGGCCCACTATTAATTAAACCATAATTGAAAATTTCTGATTGAAGAGGCATAAAATCAACAAAGAACACTTGTACGTGATAAGAACTGTTAAAGAAATTATAAAAAACACTTTAGCATTTGACTCAGTAAATTTTGGTTTACAAAAATACAAAAACCCTATCTCCTAACAATTGGGAGGCTAAGGCAGGAGGATTGCTGCAAGTTCAAAGCCAGCCTGGGCTACATAGTTCAAGACCAGCTTGAACTACATAGTAAGACCCTGTCTCAAAAAAGAAACAAAAAATCCTACTAAAACTAAACAAACAACAATACCCCATCTAGATCTAGTATTTTTATAAGTTCAGTACTAAATTCATAAATTAATTAAGAGGAGGTAACACTTTGTTCATATTTTTAAAAATTTTTTCTAAATGTTACACACTTGAAAGTTTTCCTTTAAAAATCCTTTTCTCTATCCTCATTCTGAACAGCTTCTGGGTTTTCTTTTTTTCCATTCTTCTTCTGCTACTGTTAAAACAAGATATCAGGTCTTCATACCACCTAATAATATCCTACTTGGTTTCCCTAACTCTAGTGAGCTGAATGACAGCAGCTACCAAAATATTTTACATAAATAATTTCATTTAATCCTCAAGCAGTACTGAAATATAACTGAATTATTTCCATGTTACATGTGAATGTTACTACCTTTGCTTCAAAAGCTTCCCCAACTACTTTTAGAATATTTTTCAGTACTCTATTACCCAGACCAATCTATTTTTCTAATCATTTCCCATTGGCTCTCTCAGCCTTCCATATTCCATAAAACTCAGTGTTCTCTCTGCTTGTCAGACTGAGCCATTGCAGACCAGGTTCTACACAAATTTTCAGTCCCAGCGCAAATACCACTTCTTATACTAAATTTTTTCTTGCCCCTTCTAAATTCTTGCAGTTCTTTACTATCCCCTTATATTTACTTTTAACTTCACTATTTTATTATTTCCTATTGAGGACAGAGATGGGATATTACTCATCTGTATTTTCCGACAATATCTTGTGCATTATATAGTACTCAATAAATGTGTACAGTGAATTTACAACCTTGGTAGGTGCTCTGAACTTAGGTCAATAATTACTTTTTAAATGCTTTACACATATAAACACAGTTGATTCCCTACAACTTCATGTATTACTTTGTAACTATAGATTTCCCACATTCAGATTATCTTGCCAAATTAAACAAAAGGAACATTCTACACTTCATACCTATGCCACCTACGCCCTTCAGCTTTTCTAAGCATCAAAGCACCATGGTGTGCATAGTAAATGTTTATTAAGCATTTGAGTAAAAATAATGGGAACAGATTACAGCATGATAGCCACAATAAAGCTTCTGGCTCAGGTGATAGTAAAACTCTTGGAATGACTTAAAGGATCATCTTTAGGTCATAGTCATTTTGAATAACTAAAATCATCAAATTTCTTACTTTCCTAACTCACCATCTTCTCAAGTTTTTGTGGTTTTTGTTTGGTACCGGGGATCAAACTCGGGTTCTTGCGCTTGCGAGGCAGGTGGCAGAACCACTGAGCTCAATCGCCGGTCCTCAAGTTTTTAATATTAAAAATCCCTAAATTCACTATCTTTTTTAAGTGTTCCATTGGATCAAGCCAACATTTTCACTGACCTTAGTATATATATTATAGCTATCATTAATCACAAAACTACGTCAATTACTAAAAGCACCAATAAAATTGGAGGCTTAAAATGGAAGTGGAGATCTAAATGTATACATAGCTAACCACAAAGGCAAAAAACAAAACAAAAACCAGGAAATGAAAGGGAAGAGCTACATAAGAAGGTGGTATGTTACTTTGCCATCTTTTAACTAAATATTTAAAATGATACCGAATATAGACATCCACATGGCCCACCTACATCTAGGAACATAACCTCTTTAGTACCATGAATCTTTTCAGGTAGCACCGTGGTAACTTTCCATCCTTTATATGTATGGCTTTACAGATGATTTTAAAAGAATACTTTATGGTAACACTGGGCACAAGAACTCAGGAATTTAACTTTATATTCTTTAAGACCATAGAAGTCTACACCTACAAAAGTGGAGACAAAGGAAAAAATTTGGAATTTGGAATATACAAATCCATTAATTTAAATCTCATAAAAAACTCAAAAGTATTAGTTTTAAAAAGTAAACTAGCAAGTGCAAGGCCCGAGTTCGATCCCCAGTACCAAGAAAAACAAACAAACAAACAAATAAAAAACTAGAGCTTAATAACGTAAGAAGCTTCCTAGATTTCTCAATCACTTAGTCAACGAATATATATTGAATACTGTGTACTACTTACCAGGGTGATGATGATTGACAAGGTCCTTGTTTTTAAAAAGGATGACCAACACTAAATAACTGTAAATAAATAATTACACTACAATTGTAAAGAGGAGTGCTATATCCTCCTCAATCTGAGTGACTACAATATCATGATGCTGACTGGAATATGGCAAAGAGAGGAAGCGATATGAAATGTAATGAGAACCTGTAATGAAAAATTTAAGTCAAAGAGATATCTGGGAAGTCCTTGGTGTGTCTCAAACTTTCTAGGGACTAAAAGAAAACTAGAGTGCAATGAAAAAGGAGGAAAGCAGATTAAAATGAAGGAGAGGCAGGCAGGAACAGCCTGAAGAGCTTTTAAAGTCATAAATAGGAGCTTCACTCTATAGGCTCAGAAATTCATAGAGAACTCTGAAGGTTTCTTAGGATTTTGGATTTAGTAGTTCTAAGAAACGTAGTGTTTAATTGGTTTAGGGCCTTTGCTGGGATTAAAGTTAGGCCACATGTAATTCAGTAAACTAGTTTCTGAAGTCTCTTACAGAATTCTTTTGAGTTTCAGGTAATTTGTTTAAAAGCTGAGTGTGTAAATATACTCATTGACTACCTCTCATGTACAATGCACTGTACCATAATATCACCCATGCACCCCAGAAA